CTTGATAAGAATAAACTGAGCATCTACAAAAAGGAGAACTTATTAACCAACAAAGTTAAATCATAGAAAATAGAAGATACAAGAATTAATAAAGATTGCAGGAGGTTAAGCTAAATTGGCCCATAGATAGTGAAACGACCAAAATGAGAACAAGAAAAGAGGAAATGTGCTACCATTCTAAGAATGGCACACACATCAAGGATAATCTGTATTAGATCCAAAACTGCTTGATCTTTGTTTTTCTATCAGCGCTGAGAAATGATGATGTTAAATATTAGGAAAAGGGTTAAGAGAACTGAAGATATGGAAATTGAGTTTATCATTGTTGTTGAAAAGTTATTGTGCTCATACTGGGATAATGGTTGCCTCTATCCAAAATTCCAAAAGAGCTCCTAACTAAAATTGCAGAAATGTTTAGTAAAGTTATTTAATAAATCCTATGAGATTCTGTATGATATGATTTGACAATTAGCGGAGGAAGCACCTACATTTAGAAAACAAACAAACAAAAAGTAATCCTGGCAGTTATACACCAGTTAGTATTTATTTTGAGTCTTCAGAGTAAATTTGGAAGGAAAATACTTAAAGCAACAGTAGATTGAAGAACATTGTTCACTCACATGAATTCATGCAAGTATTCTTAGACCCGATACTGGTTATTTAGACAAGGAAACTTGTTATGTATAAGCTGACAAAAAAAGTAGAGTTTCTGATCTGGTACCACATGGAAAATTATTAATTAAAAAGATGGAGCTTGTGTATGCTGTTATTTTACAAGCAGCCACAAGCTTAGTATAGGAAATCCTGCTTGCTATTAACTGGGTTCAGCTAGCATCTCTTGTTTGGAAGGATGGGCAAGTTGAGCTCCATCTGCAAAATATCATGCACCTATGAAGGTGGTGAGAGATTATTCAAAGGCAATAAGGAACTAGTCAGCAGAAAGGCAACAGCAAACAGCTTTGAAAGGAGTAGTGTTAAAGTCCAAGGATTTCTACTGTGAAGTTTCTACATAGTTTCTCACCAGTTGGTGCTGAAACAATTTTTTTTAATGTTTTCATTAGTAACATTTGGTATGAAGAACAGAAGTGTACTAGTGAAATAGCTTGATGCTGTAGAGCTAAGAGGGGTTATTAATATAAAGTAATCCAGGCTGTCATGCAGAATGATTGCAATGACCTCAAGTACTGGAGAAAAAAAAAAACAGTGGATGATGTTCAGTGGCACCAAGAATTTTTACTATTAGCTGGATTGTACCAGTGGGCAGGCAGACAGTTGATATAGGATGGTGGCTGTGAGCAAAAGGAGTGCAAGAACATGTCAGGTGAAGTGTGTCCATTGGAGTTAAGTAGCACTGTTACCACAGCATGCATGAGAGATAGATTTGGAAAGACTGAGGAACTGGAGAGCCTACCGACTGAGACATAATGGAAGAAGCTATGTTTAGCCCACATAATGAAGAAAATTTATATTCTGTCTGTAAATATATGAAGGTGAAAATACAAATGCTCTCTATAAGTGCATGAGGAGAAAAAACCATCAGTAAGACAATCATACTCTTCAGTTTTTCTACTTAGGGTCATTGAACATTTTTTCCTTCTGTGGGCTGCAGAAAAACACCATAAAAGTCATCTGCCATCCATAGGAAGTCTGACAACATACAAATTCTAAGTTTTTTTAATTAATAATTTTCCATGTGGCACTGTATCAGAAGCTTTAGATCTGTGTCAGCTTACATATAACAAGTTTCAAATTAGATTAGGGTTTAGGGTGCTTGTGTTTGCCCTAGGGGAGTAGGAAAAGGATAACAACTCTCTTTTCCATTGCTTTAGTTTGCACATAGGATTGTGCTTTAAATATTTTCAAATAAAAGCAACAACAGTGAGATCAATAATGGCATTTTCTTATTCAAGACATGGCTATTTTATGTTTCAATATGTAGCAATTAACTTTTAGATCTAATTTAATTTGAAAATACAGTTTTTCTATAAGTAACTATTAAAATGCAAAATGGGATAAGTGTAGAAACAAGGGTATTGTTTTTCTTTTGACAGAAATTGGGCTGGGAGGCAAAGAGAGAAGGATCTATCCATATTAAACCGTATGTGAAAGCTTTAGAATTTGCAGTCAAACAAAAGTTCTGAGAAAGAGACCATATCCAAATACCGTTTCTGAGTTTAACAGAAACTTCACTGAGAGCATCCCATATACCAAGATGGTGACCAACTTCACCACTAAGTGAGTCTTTTGGGGGAAAACCTCCACCAGAGGAATATGGGTGTAATTCTTTTGGTTGTCAACGCTCCTTCTTTCCCCTACTTTCAAAATAATAATAATAATCAAAACTGATACAGTTCAGTGAGAAGTTCTGATATCCACATTGTGACATTTTCCAAAGAAATAATATTTTGTTTAAAAGTTCCCATAAAGCTATTGTTATTACTGGAGGTGAGGTCATATAGGACTTCTGCCATGTACACTGTGGATGGATTTCAACGTACATTATAGAAGTCTTCAAATATTTTATAGTTGTGCAAGCGATGTTGTTGTAGTTAGCAGTTAGCATAACATCGTTATGTGTGTTGTTCTGCTTTCCTCCTCCTAGTAAGGATACTTCAGTCATTTGTTTGTGTTTACCACTCTTCAGGCTGTGAATGATGGCCATTTTGTTGCATGGTGGCATACCATGCACCAAGACACCTGGGCTGGAATTTTGATTGATCTCACGTAACTCCCTAGTATCAACTCACTCAGGGTTGCCTTATTTTCTTCCCTTGAGATTTTGTAGCTGTTTTTTGGTATTGCTTTATTTTTTAATTTTTAATCCAGAGCACCTGATTCTACTGTTAATTTTGATTGTGTAAGTCAGATGAGAACCCAGTCAAAACAGTATGGTTTTTCTGATGAAAATGGACATAAATAAGAGTCTTCAGACTCCAATGCCTTCTGACTTTTGTCCTGAAAAGTGAGTGGAACATGAGATGTATTTTTTATGATAGTTCTCCAAAGAGACTAGCCGTTAATCTCCCTGTGAGTAGGTGTGTCAGCTGCAAACATTTCCTTCCAGTCTCCCATTTCAATCACACTTCACAGTACACTGAAAATTGGCAAGGATTTTAATTATTGGCCTCTAGAACAAACCACCTACTTTGATTCAAGCATGTTTTCCAATTTTTAAGAATGTTGTTTCACCTACAGTACAGTATAATTATAGAAAATAGCTTGGTTTGGCTGACATTCCTGTGTTCTGTGCGTTCTGCTTGCAAGGCAGCAAGCAGCACCAGGCAAGCAGCTCACCTGCAGAGGATTTTAACCTCTTGCTGGCAGAGTTAGGGCTTGCCAGCATCCAGTACATTGTTTTTGATATCAGAAGCTCTATACTACTGTCACTTGAAGGTTAAACATTAACGCTTTTTGCCTTTCAAGCTGCAGGAATGCTCTATATTGTAAGAAAGTTTGTTTTTATTCTCCAGGGAGCCCTCTGTTAAAATTTTATGTATGTCTGTTACAGGAGCAGCTGCAGCAGTGGGTCCTGAACCCCAGTGACACAAAGCCCTGGGTACAGCATGATCCTCTGGTCAGCACAGTGCTGACTGGCTGTGTGGCTGCATTTGCGCAGAGCAGTGCTCAGTAAAATCTGCCAGTAGTGAGCCATGTATCCAGGACATGATTAATCAGCTAGCAGGATAAATTGTCTATAGATGACTGGGAGTTGACAGTAAACAGTAAAACACCTGCCTTGAAGACTTACAGTCTTAACAGACAAGCAGGAAACAGAAGCAAGCATGAGCCCTGTTTCAAGAGACTGAGGCACAGACTGAGTTGCTGATGATTATGCAGTGAGTCTGGCAGAGCTCAAAGCTGAATTCTCTATCATTCCCTTCGTGTGTTTGTAGCTCATGTAACAAGTCTTTAATTTACCAAGAAACTGTTCCGCAACGCTGTCCTGAGAAGTTGGTAGAATTCACCTCAGCATTTCTCTCACACGTACCCCTTGGTTTGAGGCTCTACAATTTGTACAGCTAATAACTTACACCATGAATTAGAAACATTGGAAACCAGCCCAATGCTCAGGCTCGTGTGTCAAGGAATTGCTGTGCAAGCCCAGTCTTATTTGTTGTTACAACAATTAATCATCCAATGATTATCAGGTAATTTATATGGTATCTGGGCCCTCAAGGGAGTTCTGCAGTGCTATTGAAATTGGACATTTTAAAATTAATGGTGATTAAGCTGTAAAGCCTTATTAAATATGCATGAGTGCTATTTCTCCTTCCTCCTCGCTACCCGTAGAGCCATGTTGGGGCTGGCTGCCTTCCTGACCTACCAGCCGCGCACTGCAATCTCCACCATGGCTGTGAGTCACAGGCTGCTCAGCTCCACGCCAGCAAACAAAGGCAGGGGAACATCCGGGACGATGCACAGGTGGGAGATGGCAGTGGCTGCTCAGGGAGTCCCTCGCTCCACCATAAACCAGGTTCTGGATGGGAATGCAGCCAGCTCCTGGAGCAATCCAGCACTGCCTGTCTCAGCAGACTTCACCAGGAGCGTCAGGTGGCTCTTAGGGCAGGAGCTGCAACATGGCCACATGCTGACCAAGAGGTGCACATCAGTAGCTGAAGATTGAGTGCTTTGTTTCACTCACTATAGAGTATGTCGCTTACAGAATTTTGCAGTGAGAATGTTATATAACTATGACGTGTTTCTCAAGAAACTTGGCTCAACTAAGTATGGTTAACCTCACCCATTCAAAAAGTTTACTGTGTATGCGAAGGAAACCTTTCAAAACATCATCCTGCTGTGAAAAGGAATTAGAAACAGTTATAATGCTACAAGAAATATTTTTTTCTAAAAATGGCACAGGCAGTGTTATGGAATAGTATAAACAAGTACTTCTCTTACAATAAAACATGGCTGAAATGAATGCATAAAAGATTGCAATGTTTTCAAAGAGATATAGATATTCTGAATAAATTGTTTCTCCTTTGCTTACCATTCTGCAGGCAGAACTGATAGCCCTGCAACAAGAAAAAGAAGCCACTCTTCAGCAGTGCAGAAAGTTAGAAGAAGAAATCCAGAGATTGCATGTACATTACAGGTAAAATAATTAATACCAAAACAAGTCAGTGACTCATAGGGGAAATTTTCTGTATGGTGTCTGACTCTAAGTAAGGAAATAGCTTTATCAAGTAGGTATTTGTTGGAAATGTGAATACATCAATGAATCAAAGCTGCATTTCTGCTTTGTTGCTCGCCAACCACCTCTTTGAAATAGAAGTCCTCTTGTAACCTAAATATTGTATTAGTTTCTTCTAAGAGAAGGGGAAGGTTGCTGGCAGTTAATTCTCATAAGAATGAAAAACCTGTCTAATAATGATTCATTCACTTAAAAATACCAGGGTAAAAGAACCAGTAGTCATAAACGCTTATTTTTTCCCTGTTCGCACATACATGCATAACCTTTTCAACATAGATTTTAAAATAATCAGTAATTTTTAAAGCCTGTTTTCTAATTCCCAACATCATGTATGTGTTTTAATTCCTTATGTTCTGTAGCAGTACATAGAATAAGAGAAATAGCCATTCTCTCATTAATTTAGGTGGGCTGCACTGAACGTTTGCATGGATCAGTGGATGGTAATCCCTAAGGAAGAGCTCTGTGTGGTCCAGTGAAGGAGTTAGGTTGTTTTATGGAGTGATGTTGGGTTACAGCTCTCATTTCATCCTGACCTCCTATGTGAGAGGGGATACAGAGCTGCCAGCAGGTTAGAAGCAGGAGAATTGGCATCAACACAGCAGAAAATTGTGAATCTGAAGGCTGAATGTCTGTGATGAGGGATGTGGGCTGCAGAGGTAAATAATAAATGTAGTGTGAATATTACGTTCATTGGAAATAAAGGAAACTAGTTAGTTATAACTAAAAAAAAAAAAAAAAAAGCAGTTGCAGAACTGTGTTTTCAGTGTTTCAGCATTTACAAGTGAAAAATACTTGGGTTTCCAGAGGTTTTTAGAGTTTCCCCTTCTCATTAAGTTTATTAAAACCTGGGAGGGAAGTTTCAAAAACAACTTCTGTTCCTAAATCTCACAGGCATTTATTTAAAACCTGTTAATAGTGAATAGAAACCCCAAGCAATTTGTGATTATTGCTTTTAATGAATTTGGTCAGCATTTAGTGTGTGCACAAATTATGGTATGATTTACTGAGCTAGAAAGAATTTATTATAGTGCCCTTATTACTCACTTAAATGGGATTTGTAGAATAATTTTAAAAGAAAAATGCAATTTTTATATTGATATTTTAGAAATAAAGACTTTGCTTGTGTTGATCTGAACATCGTAGGGGATTTTTCATTGACTTTTGACTGTTGAGATAGTCTCAGGCTTGCTGTAATATATTTAACAAGTGCAGTAGCCAGCAGCTGCAATTTAGTCTTGTAAATAACTTAAATCTCAGAAAATAATAATGGCTTGCAGGAGTCACCATTAGAATGTAGCATGTTAATATCTTTTGGCTCTTGAACAAGCAGTATTTCATTGTAAATTTGATTACGATCTTCTACAAGATTTACTTATAAGTTGTGACAGTAGTCACCTGAATATCCTTTGGGGCAAGAATGTTTTTTCATTACTTCTTATTCAAGTTGTAAGATAATTCAGAACATCAAAAATTATTTTCTCTCTTTTGTCACTGTCCTTAGGGAGTCACTGAGTAGTTCTCATACCAAATAAGACAGATGAAGAAAAGAGTATCAGACCAACATGGGATTGATCATAAAAAACATAAATAGCAAAGCAATGCATTTTCTCAGGCCATCTCAAATGAGTGAAAACTTATTCTCTGTTTCATATGTTGGCTATTTCCAACAATGGTCTTGATACCACGTTCAGAGTAACCTTGTCTGATGAAGTAGAAACTGCTAGAAGACTGCTGGCTTGAAGAGAAGTTTTGAGAAAAATAGGAGCAGGATTTGCAAGATCCAAACCAAAATTAAAATGAAAATGAACTCTGCGGGAATACATCATGAAACACTGCTTTTCATATGAATTCTGACTTTTTTTTAAGAGAGACCAGGTCCCAGTACTATTACAATCTTCTTTGAAGAGAATGATAAATAAAAATGAGGGAAAAGAAAAGGTGGAGGAATCTAATTCACATAGAGAAAGGAGAGGAAGTTGGCTCACAGTAAAGTTGAGCAAGTTCACCACTTCTGTTTACTCCTCCTATATTGTTCCTATGTCATGTCTCATAAGGAAAGTTGAATTTTCTGGAAAGTAACCTGAAAACGCTTATCAGAAATGAAAATTTGCATAACAGTTAGGAACTGTATAGAGTTTCTAGCTTACTAGGGTAATTGTTTCACCACAATGCTCTTTAAGCTAGGGATTAATGCAAATCATAGATCATCAGTGACCGAAAGAGGCTATATCCAAATAATCAGTTTTGAACTGTGTGGGAGTGTTAATCCCACTGCCACTTTCTCACATATTTCTGTTGTTTGAATGTCATCATAAGTATTTCATTTGCATAGTTTTCAGTTGTGGACTACCCGTTTCTATAATCAATTTCCTTCTATTTCAGTAATGCTTCAGAAGTGTACTTCTGCTACATATAAAATGCTGGCATAGACATATGCTATTGCATACTGATTATTTTTTCACATATCAGATACAACAGCATGACTGTGAATAAGGACTATATTTCTATATAATGAAGTACCTATATATTTTTCCAAATTTAAAAAAAAAAAAAAAAAACAATCTAAAATACTTCACTCAAAAGCTCTGGGACTGGGAGTTTTCATAGGTAGATAATTTGAACAGATTATAAGTAGTAGAACAAAATGATGTGTCTGACTTTGAATTGGATTTAACCTCCATTACCAAGAAAGGTGAGAGAGCAAAATATAAATACAGGGCGATCTTTGCTTAAAAGTATGTTTTTGTAGGTTTCATGTTGGGGTCAGATGTAGGGTTGCTCAGTTCAGAAAAACTATAATTTTTTGCTCCACAGCTGTGTAAGAAATGCACACTTGTGTTCACACACTTTTGAATAAAACTGCTAAAGAAAATAATGCGTATGTCCAGCAATAAGAGTTAATTAGGGCTGTAAGGTAGAATTTAGGAATGCTATTAGAAGTGTGAGTAGTTATTTCAGTGATAGGTACGAGTTTCATTTGTGATTTAATCAAGCACTTAAAAGCCATATATTTACCAAGTCTAAATTCACAGGGGAGGAGGGACAGGAAGAACTTTGGAAAAAATATTTACCCAGAGGCTCCTCCAGTTTGCTGTTGAAATGTGTAAGATGCAGTAATAGCTACAAGCTGTAAGTTACAATAGGAAGAAACTTACATTTATTGCAGCAAGTTTCCTATTGAATGGGTATTTCTTTCTAACTTGCAATGTTAAAATGAAATCATAATTTGTCTCGTGAAGAATTGAAGTTTTAATAGATGGATGTCACAGTCTGGGGAGTTGCATGTAGAAGAGTAATTAGAATTGAACCAGCATGAAAGAAAACTACTTGTATTTTACAATTATGTGACAATTTTCGATAATGAGATAGAACTCAAACTTCAGTGAGATCCTTGTAATAGCAAGTAGTATGATTTGAAATACATATTTTTAGAATCAGGCATTCAGTCAGCTTGGGCAGCTTCTCTTGCTACCTAACTAGTTGTATCACTTTTAAAAGTTATAAACTATTGTGAAGAGATTTAATAAGATTTCAGTACCAAAGCTGCTGGTGCTTCTGCTGCTTCAGTTAACCTAGAATTCATGGTTTAAGTAGCACAAGCAAATAGTTGAAAAAACAATTGATTTTGCAAAGGTACGTAGATTTTTCCCACAAAGTGTGTCATAAACTGATGTGCGGGTTGATATTTTTAGAGATGGAAATTGATAGAGTTGAAAGGGAATTGAGAGTTTTTGATTATTTCCTCAGATGAAAGACATATAAACACAAACTCAATTTTCATTTTAATTACAGTATTAAATCAACATATAACAGGAGAAATAGATGAAGAAGGACACTTTGCAAGGCAATATCTGCACCTCTGGGGAAAAAAAAAGGTTGTATTCTATTCTAGTTCTGAATACAGTGGTGCATTCCATTCTATAGATTCCTGGCCAATGTAATGGATTATAATACTTAAATGAAGCCATTTTAGAATCAAAGAATCATAGAGTGGTCTGTGTTGAAAAGAACCTCAAAGATCACCTAGTTTCAACCCCACCCCTCCCCCTCTGTTGTAGGGAGGGTTGCCAACCACTAGACCAGGCTGCCCAGAGTTACATCCAGCCTGGCCTTGAATGCCTTCAGGGATGGGGCATCCACAACTTCTCTTTAGCACTGTTCCATGGGTTCTGCAAATGGATAGGTAGTGACATAATAATTACGATTATACTGTCTTCTTGTTCAGGCAATAAGATCTGTTATAAGCTATAAAATATTTTACCTAACACCAGTAATCATTCTTTTGTATTCAGTATTCAGCTTCACAGTCACTGTAATGGCAAGTCAGAATACAACTGCGTATTTAGTCTCCTGTTTTCCGAATGACCCCCTGCTCAAGCCTCTTTCTTTATTTCAGCCTTATTGTTTTGCCACCTCTTTTTCAGAGATTTATCCAGGCTGTATTTATCTCATGCTTATAGGATGTGTAGCAGGAGATGGGGCTGCTCTACTGCCCAGCTTCCCAGTCCAAATGAAATGAAACCTATTCACACTGGGATGAGTGAGGCTGCAGCTGTTGGCTCAGAGGAGTGATCTCAGTTCTTCCTTTGCAGCTGAAGCAGGATACCTTGAGCACCTGCCACTGCAGCTTACCTCAAAGAACTGCTCTTTTCATTGCTAGTTTTCATCTCATTTTTTTCAGTTACATTTGTTGACTCATCTTCCTGCTCTTTTCAACCTGTCTGCTCAGTGTTTTTCTGGCACTGTAGTCTCAGTCTTAGTTGATTCAGACATCATAATGTGGCTAGCTATAGTCATTAAGAAGAGTGCTGTTTTTGAAGAGTGATTTTGGGGAGATCAGAGGAGAAGATGACAGTTGTGTTTTCAGTATTCTGTGTGCAACATTAACTTCCATTTATCCA